AAAACGAACGTTCGGAGGGAATTTACAGTATGTTTTAATAATTAACTTTGTAGTAAGGGAAAATATTGTCAAGCGATTAGTTCTCGGTTAGAAGTTTCTTTGTTACGTTAATAGTTCGAATGTATTTTAAGTTTATATGACCAATCATCCTCAAAACCTCTGCTAAATAGTCGAAGAAAAGTTCTTGATCCCTATTGGCTATTGTTTTCGAATCTTCGGCAAGTCGTGACGTGTTTGAAGTCGGACGTGTTTTTATTCGCTCTGCTATTAATCGTTATATTTACTCGAATTCTCACAAAATATGGCTGAAGATCTTCGATATAACTTAAAGGCCAGTGGAGAAAAGTTCTACTGGGATAGTACATTAGTTGAATTAAAGGAATTTGTCTCAAAGTAATTAAAACTTTCAGGAAGATTGACGTCGCCGGGCGGCGAAGTTAAGGTGGCTCCCTACAGTTATTCTTGTTTAAGCAATAATTCCGTAAAACGGGCTTATTCTTGCAGAACGCGAATTCTTTTCGAATTGGTGGCAATATTGGTCACCTAAGGAATATTTCGAACTAGATTTCGACAACGTCAATGTTCCCATGGCAACATGACGACAGCATGAAACCTTCCAATTTAACCCATAAATGTGCCTCTATCTCAAAAACGATGTCGGTGACCTATCTTTTTTATTTCACATATCAATAGGGAATGATGCTCTGCAACTGTGGTGAAAGTTTAAAAAAAATCTGTAGTGTGTGATTTTTTTAAAAGCGAAAATTTATTGCGAAATTTCAACACTAAAGATTTTTTTAAAAATTGAAATTTATAAAATTTACCGCAAAATAAATTCATGGTCAAAATTTGAAGATAGGTCACCGATGAAACTAATGAGTAAAATGCAAATAAAGTTAGAAAATAGTCTCGTTTAACTCGAGAAATAATTCCCCTTATTGAAAAGCGTCGCTGACTAGTAAAAGATTGTATGCGGGCGCAGAACGAGTTTTCATTCAGCAAAATCGATCGGCAATGTTGTTTTTACTGTTTTGTTTTTGTCAACTTTTCGATTTATTTGAGTGCCATGGACAGCCAACTAGGATTATTGTGAAGGATCAAATCGATGAAAACAAGGTCCAAGGTAATTGAACTTTGCCGTTTACTCAATCTATGAGCTGTAACAGCCTATTAACAGGTGGACGTGTTTTTTTGCTTCATGTTTGGTTTTGTACTTTTTGCTAAAAATGAACAATTAGGCTATGAAACTGAAATATTTTTCTGTTTACTTATCATCACTTTAATCTTGTGGAAACACGACTGGAAACGTGAACGTTTTCTTGAGAAGTAAACAACTTTTTAAACGTTTGTATGCAATTTTGCAAGTGTTTTAGAGTTGACAGTGCATATATAAAAAAAAAATTAAACATTGTTTCGTAGCTATTTTTTGGTCTAGTGATATTCGTATCATATTTAGAATTGCTGTATAGACTCGCAAGTGATTTGGCACTCAAAACGAAGTATTATTCAACGCCACGCTTTTTTCCATTAGAAACCTTTCAGAAATAGCTTTATTTAAAAAAAAGCGTGGTCAATTTTTGGTTTGTTTTGATCATGCAGTTGCGTGGGATAGTTCACGTACTGGTCCCGCGAACATCCCGCACGCAACTGTAGGGAGCCTCCTTAAGTTATTCACAGCTGATACTGTGAGCTTGAAATGGCATGGAAAAACCATTAAATCATCACATTAGCTGGAAATTCGACCGATAAGACGAATTATCTAAGAATGATGATGATAAACTTTATTTAACCACGCTAACATTGTCAGCAGAAGCTGGTTTCCACAATGGGCGTGTAAAAAACATTAACAAATTGTTACAAGTAAAATAATAAGGAAGTATTAACATGCAGAATATAAAATTATTAAAATATATACAAAAAGTTTGCTATTTACAATGATGTGGTTTTCTTTATAAGCTATAGGTAGCGATTTTTCTTTTAAAACTTGAGAGCGAATTACTTTCTCTTATATTTTTTGGAAGAGAGTTCCATATGGAAGCTCCATCATACATGTAACTCTTTTTCATATTGTTTGTGTTTGGCTTGGGCAAACGTATGGTACTTGAGCTGTTACGAAGACTGCGGTTTAATATTTCTTTTTTGAAAGTAAATAATTCTTTGAGACAATTTGGCCCCATGTTATTTAGCGTTTTAAACATTATTTTTGCCTTTGCTTTCACTCTTTGTTCCTTGAGTGGTTACCATCCTAATATATTTAGCACAGTTTGTTGATTTACCTCATTAGGCACACATGCTATTACACGAGCAGCTCTGTTATGAAGTTTTTGGAGACGCGTGGATTGCGTTTCACCAAATATATTCCAAACTTCACAACAGTAGCTAAAGTATGGTTGAATTATAGCATTGTATACGGAAACGAGTGTTTTTTGATCAACATATTCTTTAATGCTTTTAAGAGCGTATATTCCAGATGATATCTTTTTACATATATTATCTGTATTGCTCTTCCAACACAAATTTTCATCAACAGTCACACCTAGAGTTTTACATTGAAAAATCTGCTTTATGGGTATGTTTTGAATGTGAATTTTAAGTTGCTGAACAGAAGCTTTCTTCAGCATCTGTTTAGTACCAATAATTTGAAATTCAGTTTTCGCCACATTCAAGCTCAGTTTGTTTGCCATGAGCCATTTACGAAGCATTTCTAAATCTGAGTTTACTGCATCTTCAAGATCACTTAAGCATTCTCCAGCTGCTGTGATATTTGTATCATCAGCAAACAGCCGTGGTTTTGTTTGGCTCAGACATGCAGGTAGATCATTAATATAGAGTAAGAAGAATAGTGGCCCCAATATAGACCCCTGGGGTACACCACATTTGACGTCGTTTTCCCCTGAAATAGATCCATTGACTTCACATCTTTGAGTACGACCAGTTAAGTATGATTTGAGTAATAGAAATGCACTTCCTGTGATTCCAACTAGTTTTAGTTTTTGCAATAAGATCTCATGGTCAACAGCATCAAAGGCTTTTTTTAAGTCTACAAATACAACCAAATTAAAAAGTTTTCTATCCATGTTTATGTACCAATCATTTGTGCAATCAAGTAAAGCTGTTGCAGTTGAATGAAATTTTCTGAAACCAAATTGATGTTCGGAAAGTATGTTATTTGCACTCAAATACTCATAAAGTTGAGTATATAGGATACGTTCCATAATTTTACTAATGGCTGGCAACACAGAAATTGGTCGATAATTTCCTGGCAAGTTTCGTTTGCCATTCTTAAAAAGGGGAATTACCCTTGCAATTTTCCATTCATGTGGAAGAGTACATAAAGTTATCGCTTGATTAAAGATGTAAGTCAATGAATCGGAAATTAATGGTGCAGCAATTTTGATTATCTTGCTGGATATTTTATCCAGGCCAGTAGCTTCGCTACCAGACAGTTCACGTAATAAAAGACAAACATGACTAATAGTAACTGACTGGAATGCAGTAAATTCAGAATTAGTTTTGTCAAGGAAGTCTTTAGAATGACATCCTGGTGTACTAATTTCTTCGGCTAAATTCGGTCCAATATTTGAAAAGAAGGTATTGAAGCCCTCAGAAATTTCATCAGGGCTTGTTAATTTTATGCCATTTAAGTTTAATTCGTTTACTTTAGTTCTTTGATTTTGTTTACCAAGTAAGGTATGAATTGTCTTCCAAGCAGCTTTTGGATCTTGCTTTTCAGTCGCTATTTTATTGAAATAATATTCCTTTTTGGTTTGTCTTAGAAGATTGTTTGTTTCATTTCTGGCTTTTTTATAGTTATCCCAATCTGTTTCAAGTTTAGTGATAATTGCTTTTCTTTTCAAATTATCTCTTGCAATTATTAGTTTTTTTATATGACTAGTAATCCAAGGATTTTTTTTAGATTTTGTTTTTTTGTTTTGAATTGGGGCATGTTTATCTAGGACATAGTGTCAGGATTGTCTGCAAAAAAATAGACATGTTCCCATGTTTGAGTTCCTAGGTCTTGTAAAAACTGCTGTTCATTGAATTTTTTCATATTTCTAATTTCAATTATGTTATCATTATCTTTGTGTCGAATGTTAATCTTTCTTATGCCATAGATGAGACTGTGGTCACTAATTCCAGTATGTATTACACCACATTTGGATATTTTTCCTGGTTCATTGGTAATAAAATGATCAATAAGTGTGGAGGATGTCCTAGTGATCCGTGTGGCTTTATCAATTATCTGGGATAATTGATAAATTTCGAGTAAAGATTTAAGTGTCTTAGTTGGATGGTCAGGAATAGACTTAAAAAGGTCGCAGTTAAGATCACCCAGTATATAGATTTCCTTGTTTTCATTATCAATCTTTTTTAAAAGGTTTTCAAGATGGATAAAAAAATTCGATGAAGCATCTGGGGGTCTATAAACCGTAACAACCACAAATGGTCTGCTATGCGGTTTAGTTATCTCTATGCATATAGCTTCTAGATCGGCTGGTATAAGATCTTGTCTGATTTGGTAGTTTATAGAATTACGTAGATAAATGCAAACACCACCACCATTTCTAGACCTATCTTTTCTTGTAATGTCATACCCATCTATATGAATCATACCATCAGTTATGGTTGAATTAAGTCTGGTCTCACTAAATGACATTATATCGAGTAATTTGTTTGACATAGTTAAGTTAATTTCATCAAATCTTTTTGGCAAGCTTACTATATTTAAAAAAGCCATTTTAAATCCACGCTGATTGGGAAGACAATTAATTTTATCCGAAAAATCGCTACCCATTTCTGTTTCATTATGTATTTGACTATGTTCTATTTTATTATGTAATAATGGATTACTTTCTACTGTTGTATCATTTTTGCAACGTGTGCTAGATACGTTAGGCATGAATCTGACATCTATATGTGAAAGTTCAGTCGAAAATCAAGGCAACAATACAGAGAGATGTCAAGACCACTTCAATAATGACGACAACACCGAAACAAGCATGGATGCCACCTCAGGTAAAATGCTGAATACAGCTGGTTTATTATGCAATGACCAAGAGTCATTGGAGAACTCTTTTAATAAAAGTGACAATACTTTAGCTGACGAAATCAACTTGGGGCATGGCATGCTTGAGAATATTAAGAATAACAAGTTTGTTATGACTGATAATTCATGTCAGACAAATGATCAGACAGCGAACGAACGCTGGGGACTTTAATCATTCATGTACATGGGATCAAGTTACTACCGATATTGAGAGTCTAGAATCTAAAATATCTACCCTTCAGTCGTCAGTGTTGTCCTTTGAAAATGTACTCGAAGATCTTGACACGATATTATCTTTATACTAGAAATACATGCATGCAATAACCCCTCGCCTTTTTTCAAAAGTTGTATACTCAGTGCCGTTGCGAGGGTTTTGTCTCAGGGGGTGTGTGAGGTTAGAAGATTGTTACCAAAATGTTTCAGGATAAAACAAAAATTTTCGGTACATCATAATTTTTCCGAAAATACGTATATTATTTCCAAATTCATTTTCTCATGTACAGAAATTTACCTGAAAATCTTCTGCAAATCTACTTGAAATTAACCTGAAAGTCCACTGGAAATCTACCTGAAATTGCTCACGAGTAATTATCAGGGGTGTTGCACCCCCCCCCCCTCCCCCACCAACACACACACCATGGTGCGTTTCAAGCAAACAGTCTGATTTATCGTCCTTGTATTTCACCTATCAAAGTATTGTGCATTATACTCTAAGCGTTTTGCTGTTGTCATGCTCTAGCATGGTTCAAGTTTATGAATTTTTAAACTACAACTTGACTGGTTTATATTATTATCAAGTTATCAGTGATCGCAAAACCTCCAAATCCTTAATTTCGAATTTGAGTGGATTTGAGATGGAAATTCCCAACCCCCGCAATGTGCTTTACAGGAAAATGGCTGGGGGGAGGGATGGGATGTTTGGATTTGGCTGAAGCAGTAATTTAAAAGTCATGGAAAAAGAGAAACTTTTCATATTGCTACTATGAAATGGCTTATCGTGCTTATTTCTGTGCTTATTCCTTACTGCAGCTTGTCAAATATGTACTTGCTAGAAGTTATATTTACCATCATCACTGGATGAAGGAGTAGACATTTAATAAATACTGGTCAATAAACAGAAATGTATTTTATTGAACTGGTTTATCTATAGATTTTATAGCAAATAGCAACTGTAAAAACTTATACTATACCCTGTCTTCACATCGCTTTATACTGTTAGCCAATGCTTTTTTACATATTCTAGAATCAGTTCCTTTTCCGGTAACTACATTTCTAAATGAAATCATCGCGAGTACTGAGTGTTGAGCAGGCCGTTACACTATAAACAAATTTTAGGAATTGATAACAACTTTGAAAAATAAATCGTTGCACATTCGATCACAGTCGGAAAAATGTTGATAGTATGTTGTACCGTTGCTTACAACTAACAATGAACAGTCGCTCACAAAAACATATTCGCGTCTCTAAGTTCGTGTGATCAGAATCCTCAATGTTTGTCAAGAGCAACAACACTTAATTGTTCTTTCTCATGTGTACAATAATAAGTAACAAAACTTTATGTAGTCGGAAGGTGTTGGGCTAGAGACCTACTGGAAACCTTTACAGGCTTTTTAATGAGAATGTTTTATCCGCAACTGTTCATCCTTAGTTGCAACCGACGGTATTTGAAAGCATAAAATTGCCTGTGATAACTGATATAAAGTAAATACTGTCACCATACTGACTTGAACGTGTATGAAAAACACTTTATTGAAAAATTGTGAAAAAATAGTCGAATATAGAGGAGTCGAATGTAGGTAGTAAAGCCCCCACTATGGCGGCGGAAGTAATTAGTATGCAAGTCTGATTTGGCGGCGGAAGTAATTAGTATGCAAGTCTGATTTGGTGCGGGAAGTAATTGGCATGCAAAATCTATGACGTCACTTTGTTCGGCTAACAATCTGGCGGATTTTATAATGAGCTTGCAAAATCTATAACGCCAGGTAGCGCGACCAATTAACGCGGGCAGGCCTGGGCCAAAGTGTGGCAGGTGATCAATTAGCATCACAACTAGTTTCTGACAAATTTGTATTAAAACGACAAGAGGTTTCTCATAGTTTGCATGTATAAAAGTATGAAGTAGAAGTTAGTTTTTAAAACCTACCGTTAGCTCAGTTGGTAGAGCAAAGGACTGTAGTTATTACCAAATCAGTATTCCTTAGGTCACCGGTTCGAACCCGGTACGGTAGAAAAATGTTTGCCTTACAACCATGTAGCAACGTTGTGAGTCTCTCTCTTATTTTCAACACGCAATTGAAATTCGTTTTAATTTTGATGGCTCGTTTTGAGCGATAAGTTTCCAAACAGAAATAAAAAATATCGCAACAGAAATAAGCAGTTGCTAATCCCGGGTTGTCAAAGCCGTTGTTATGATCGCTATTTGCATGTTGTTCAACATTATTTAGCAAACCTACATACATATATATGGCCAAGATGACCGAGTCAGATAGAATACTTGAAGGAAAAAAACCTGTACAACAATTTAACAGTCTTAGTTGTAATATTTTTTCTCTATTATTGTATCAAGAAACATGTTTTAAACTTTGCTGCGTTGTTATGCGTTGCTAAGTCATTAGGAGGCGTGTAGGTAATTAAGGGGATTAAGGTATACGAATTTGCATAACTAAGTGTATTCCGATGGAAAATAGGAATTATTTTTAACGCCGGTGTATACCTTAAAATAACGCGCGTGGCTTTGCGGGTGCATGCATATATTAAAGTACAACGTATTTGTACACGGATCTTTTCGCGCGGGCGGAAAGAGCGGGCTTTGCGGGCAAAAATTTGCACAATATTTCAGTTTTAGAATACATTTATTTCTTCAAAATGTTTTACAAAATTTAGTAAGGTCTACTTCTAAGAGCGTAACGTCTAGGTGTTTTTGTTATTTTTAAAAAGTTCTCATATTCTTGTCTATCTTCTGGGGATAACTTTGCAAGTTTTTCCGGCTTCATTGGAATATATTTTGGTCGGTCGCTCAATATAAAATGTTGATATGCCATGATAAACAATCTCCCCCTGAGGATTCCAAGTTAATATATCGCTTGATATAAGAATAGAATGTAGAATTTTTTCTGCTGTAGCTTTTCTGACATTATTGTTGAGATACAAAAGTATATCTTCGATGCGCTAATGTCGCGGAGATGTTTTACTCTCGATGTTCATTGTTGAAATGATGTATAAATTGTAGTCACAGGGCTTTTATACAAGTTCAGCCAGGCTTTCCAAAATATGACTTAGTAATAGTCCAAGGAAACCTTCACCACGTTGAACGAGTATCCGTTTTTCTCTTCTTCCACATTTTCCTCTATCTGCCAACCTAAGCATTTCATTTTTGTAAGGTCGGAGTTTCTTCATCCCATGCTTCGGCATTAAATATTTTCTTTTCATTACGTTTTCTACACAGAGACACAGGCAGTGTACTTGTTCGGCGGTTGCTGTTTCCAGTAGTGCTTGTTGTTGATCAGGCTCGGACGTGCCCAACAATTCAAGATATGGCTTGTGCCTTAGAAGATTGATCATTTCTGTTCGACGGTTTGGAAGCAAATGAGTAAAACACCACAATAAGGAAGCTTTTATCGGAAGAGAGAAAGCAATTTAGACAAGGCTCCGAGTCTGAGGAGCCCGGAGCTGGCTCTGAGCCTAAGGAGCTCGGCTCCGAGCCTAAGGAGCTGGCTCCGAGCTTAAGGAGCTCGGCTCCGAGCCTAAGGAGCTCGGCTCTGAGCCTAAGGAGCTGGCTGCAAGCCTAAGGAGCTCGGCTCTGAGCCTAAGGAGCTGGCTGCAAGCCTAAGGAGCTCGGCTCCGAGCCTAAGAAGCTTGGCTCCGAGCCTAAGGAGCTCGGCTCTGAGCCTAAGGAACTTGGCTCCGAGCCTTAGGAGCTCGGCTCCGAGCTTAAGGTGCTCGGCTCCGAGCCTAAGGAGCTCGGCTCTGAGCCTGAGGAGCTGGCTGCAAGCCTAAGGAGCTCGGGTCTGAGCCTAAGGAGCTGGCTGCAAGCCTAAGGAGCTCGGCTCCGAGCCTAAGCAGCTTGGCTCCGAGCCTAAGGAGCTCGGCTCTGAGCCTAAGGAACTTGGTTCCGAGCCTTAGGAGCTCGGCTCCGAGCCTAAGGAGCTGGCTCCGAGCTTAAGGAGCTCGGCTCCGAGCCTAAAGAGCTGGCTCCGAGCTCGGCTCTGAGCCTAAGGAGCTCGGCTCCGAGCCTAAGGAGCTCGGCTCCGAGCCTAAAGAGCTGGCTCCGAGCCTAAGGAGCCCCGAGCCTAAGGAGATCGGCTCCGAGCCTAAGAAGCTTGGCTCCGAGCCTAAGGAGCTCGGCTCTGAGCCTATGAAACTTGGCTCCGAGCCTTAGGAGCTCGGCTCCGAGCCTAGGGAGCTGGCTGCAAGCCTAAGGAGCTTGGGTCCGAGACCAGGAAGTTGGCTACGAGATACTAGTTATATAAACTCGGTTTCTATTTGAAAGATTTATTATCTAACTATTCGTCACAGAGTAAACATGTCTCATTCATGTCATATCTGTGGAAAATATTTCTCTAAACCGTTCAATTTAAATCGACACAAACAAAAAGTGCATGATCAAAAACCAACCGACAACATTCGCATGACGGCTAATGAATCTGCAGTTTTGCAGCATCCTTTTACGTGTATCGTAGCCGGGTGTACACAAAGCGGCAAGACTGTATGGGTGAAATCTCTCCTAGAGAGCGCACAGAAAACTATAAGTCCACCTCCTCAACGTATCATTTGGTGTTATGGTCAATGGCAACCCTCCTATTTTGATATGATGAGAACGATGCCTGGAATCGAGTTTAATCAGGGCATCCCCGAAGACATCGACAACGCAGATTACTTGGACGTATCGCAAAGGAATTTGATCGTATTGGACGACCTTATGGCTCAATCTGGCAAAGATAAACGTATTTCTGATCTTTTTACGAAAGGAAGTCATCATCGGAACTTATCTATCATCTATATTGTTCAAAATATATTCCATGAAGGCAAAGAAATGAGAAATATCAGTCTAAACGTCCATTATATCGTGCTGTTCAAGTCACCAAGAGATAAGCAGCAAATTTCTATGCTTGCAAGGCAAGTAGATCCTGGAAGAGTACAAGAATTTATGAGGAGTTATGAAGATGCTACGAG